AACTGTTGTCGGCTAATTTCTTGGAAATTGAAAGTCTTACTAAATGGAACGAATCTGAGAATAATGATAGCAAGAGAGAGGGTGGGGGAGAAGTGGAACACCCCCCCCCCCCCTTTATAGTACATTAGAAATTCTGAATATTATGAGGATACTTTATTTAGAAAAAGAGATTTCCTTGTCGGGGCATTTTATATTTAAAAAAAACGCTATATTTTGACCATGATTTGCCAATCATGAATCCTTGAACATTGACGTGATAATCCTTAATGTAGCTTTCTAAACTAAACTGGGGTGGGTTGTGTGTGATACAGTGGTGTAATAAACCAGAAAAATGGCGGGGGGGGGGGGTGGGAGAGAAGAAAAAAGGTGCATCACCATCACTCTTTTTGCATGCACGTCCCACAGAACTTTTTTCAAAGTTGGGTGGGGGGAGGGGTGGGCGCTATCGTATTTACAATCGGGTAACGCGTAGCGTAAATGGCGTGGGGTCCAGGAGCAAAATGGACACTTATTCAAAAGGGTACTTATTAGACAAGAAAAGAGGCACATGTCAATGTTAAAGGAACACTTATCAGAGGTTAAAAGAGGCCCTTCTCGCACCTGAAAAGGAGCACTTGTCACAAGTAAAATAAGCATTTTTCAGATTTGAATAGTGGCATTTGAGGGAAAAAGGCACTTTTGGAATACTTAGAAAAAGTGTGTGTGTGTGTTGGGGGGGGGGACTATATCCCCTTGCCCCCCCCCCCCAGAAGCACGCCCCCTGTTCATATGCAAATGTCTACTTTTTCCCTTTTGTATAAATGCTTTCATTTTGGTGGATTGTATTATCAACTGCAGCTTGTGCAAAATTTAAATAATTTACGTTATTTGCAAAATGGATTTTTAATGCATTGAATCGTTAATTTGATGAAGTCGTTCACTCATTTCCATATATATGCTTTTAGTAAAGTCAATTTTTAATGTCATATATGGGTTGAAATATTTCTGCAAGCTTTTTGAAATAAAAGCCTTTTAGATTAATGTGTCATTCGATGGCTTGCTTAAGTGATAGTTTTTTAAAGGATTAAAGTAAGACAAATTTATTTATTATAATAGAAGCAAAATTTATTCCCGAAGTAAAACCAATTACAAATTAATTAAAACTTACAAATTAAGGATAATTCAACATGAAGTAGCAAGACCATGTTTACATCATTGATTCAAATAGAAATATGTCCCTTTTGTATGAAATTTCTTCCTTTCAGCAAGAATTAATTTTGGACTACTTGACAAAATGTTTATTTCCTTAATTCTTTTATTTGATGGTGACAAGAAAAAAACAATGAAGCTTAAAAAAAGTGTCTTTACTTTTATCATGAACACGCAAACATAATCTTGCTATATTACTTCCTATACCGCATACTATATATTATTATAAAACTACTACAATTTTCTATACTTATTAACACACTAGGGAATATTACTGAATAAATGTGTTGAGATTAATACAAAATATAATTTCGGTGTATATACCTTATGACTTTTGAATAACCTACATCAGTGCATATTTTCATTGCTAAGGTATTGCTCGATGTAAAGCCTATGGGTTTATATGACACACGCACTCGCACATATATACCTTTTTAAAGGGGCACGTTCCCACCAGTGTAGTTATCGCTGCTCTAGTCATCGCCATCTTGGTTCCGAAGATCGACTTCTAATTTGCATACAGCTGTAAATCAAAGTACGCGCGGCCTGGCCTGCCTTCGCCAAGCCAGCTGATCGCTGCCGATTGTGACGTCACGAAAGTGGGTGGAAACCGCAGCCGAATCTTAGAGCCGAACTGCGATTGGTATTACTTCGGCACATGTATGCGATAATCGGCATTGTGCGGGCATTCGGAACATGCCATCTGCGTAAGAGCCATATTCTGTTGGTGTCAATAGGCAGCTAGCACCGTCTGCCAGCGGGTACGTATTTAGAACGCCCTCTGGAATACGGGGAACATATGCCCCTTTAAAATATTTTTTTAGTAATTTTTGTTTTATCCCTCCAAATGTAATACAAACAAAAACAATATATCATTGAATAAAATAGAACGTTTTCAATATTAAAGGGATAGTTGAGTTCTGTTTTCAGACTGCAAATGCCTTCAAAGTGCATGGTTATTGCTCTTATTCCTATCTATGACATTTCTAGTGACCTTTTAGGACCTAAATTTGATATGAAGGTAATTTTAGACCCCAAATGTGTGAAATTTGGCCAATACGATCATACCAATTACGGCTCCACTTTCCAAAATATATGGTGACTGTTAATTAATTAATTACATGATAATAACAATTAGGACATGGGCCGGTTGGTTGAGCGTAATATAACCAACACGAAACAGCCAACAAAAAGCCAACATCGGCATTGTCTGGAATACAACGTAGAAGGCGCTATTTTTTTCTTCAACGGCTGGTTCAAATTTTGAATATTTGTGGTGGTACACAAATATTAGAAACCGCTATATTTATGGATATTTCAGCCGTTTCTGAACCTATTTTGATCAAACAAAGATAATTTTGTCATTTAAATTGTATGTTCTTTCAAATTTGACAATCAGTTTTTCATTATCTCACAAAAAATTATTTTGTGTAGCGCCCTCTGCACCCAACTATCCCTTTAATTGCTTATACATAAACATACTCAAACTAAAACTCATTTGCATTTTGCAGCATATATAACTGAGCAGCATAGTAAACTTAAAGAACATAAACATAATTTATAAGACAATTTTACATGTTATTCACTCTATATAAAAACAAAAAAACTTTAACAAATCCGGAGGTTATATACACATGCCCCCCATACAAATGCACGGACGTACTCGTACAAGGAGTTCAAATTCAGATTTAGATTCAAATATTTCCTGTATGTATTGAATTAATATGAAACAAACGTTTACATTTAAGTAAATATCTAAAGACTAAATATGATACATCATAGTAAAGTTTACTGTAGAATTGTAAATAAATGAGATTTCCATGGAAGAATTACATAAAATTAGAATAGAATTAATAATTATTTTGCGTAAGTTTTCTTTAATGTGCTTCCACTCTAAAAGACAATGGGCTAAGAATGAATAACCAGAGTAAGAAAATTTTCTTTTTCTTTAACATAGAGCAGGTAATGCTGAAATTACTCTCGATATGGAAACAAGGGAAACGCTCTCGGCGGTCTCGCCTGCATTACGCAATTCGATATGATGAAAAAATGAGGTTTGGACATTATTTATAGGCAGGGTGGCCCATTAGCAGGCCCCAAAATGTGAAATCCTCTGAATAATCAGCATTATGAAGTGAATATTAACCAAGAATCATCAGGGGAATTATTTACTATTACTTGTACCAGACGTGTACGCAGGGGGGGGGGGGGGGGGGGGTCAAACCATCCCCCCCATTTTTGTTTGTGTTTTGGAGGAAACCCCCCTCCCTCCCTCAATTTTTTATAAAATAAATAAATATAAAAAAATTAAAAAAAAATGTGCTAATGGGTGACCAAAAAAGGGTGACCTTACCCTCCCCCCCCCCCCCCCCAACGGAATGAAATATCGACCGGCCAAATTTTGGGACAATTAAATTTTTTTTTTTTTAGGTGCGATGTTCAAATTTTAGACCCCCCCCCCCCCCTTCGAAAATATCCTGCGTACGTGCCCGACTTGTGCTAAGATTGATAACTGTTATAAAATATGAATAACAAAAAATGATTTATTAATTCTCATGTTAAGTTGTGAAAAACATTATTCAAGTCAACTGACCTTTGACCTTGACTTTAAGACCTGGCATTGGTGTCATATGATTTGTGATACTTGATAACCCTTGGGTTACAAGTTTCATGGAATTTGAACGAACACTTTTGAAATTATGCTAAAAATCTTGATGTTGATGCCACAACAAAGTCCAAGTTTGCAGACCTGAAATGAAACTGGACCTTGACCTTGACTCCTAAAAGGCTAATCACATAATTGGTGATCCTTGATAACCCTTATGTTCAAGTTTCATGGAATAGGGATGTACTATGAAATTATGCCAAAAATTCAAAATCTTAATGTTGATCAACAAAGTCTAACTTTGCAGACTGAAAATGACCTTTGACCTTGACTCTGTGACCTGAAATTCTCCTCACATGATTGGGAATACTTGATAAACCTTTGGTCCAAGTTTCATTGGATAAGAACTCATACTTTCAAAATAAATTCAAAAGCGGCGCCTATATGTCACGCTTCTTGCTACGCAGGCGATAAAAATATTTATAATTACATAATGATTTATCAACGGTTTACAAATTCTTTTTTTAAATGGGATTTCCTTTTACATCAGGTATAGCGCATGATGAAAACTCGTCGTTTAAAATTGAAACCCCCATTTGACTGTCACTACTCCCAGAGCTATCCCTAAAGTAAACACTAGCGCTATACAATGTAATCCCCCTGCCAAGACTTTGGCGGGGAGATAGAGAGGGAGAGAGAGATAGATAGAGGGAGAGAGGAAGGGAGAAAGAGTGCTAATTTTCACAATTAAAATTGTTGTTATATCACCAATTCTGGGTCATTTTGCTTCGTTCAAACTTTATTATGGTCTTCATCTAAATTATAAGTGACTTTTGGACATGAAAATATCTTAAAACCAGTAAAATATATGTTTCCTAATTCTCATTTCCTTTCAGGCAGAGCCCCAGTAAGAGTTTGTTTACACTATGCCATATCTGCCATAACTGCCATATCTCTCGTCACGCAGAGCTGCAAGGCTCTGTCTAAGTTTTAACGAGAGAAACGAAAGTGGGGTCGTGATACCCCGGCTGATTTACATTGGTTCCTGTGTTTTAGTGGTGGGGTATAGTTTTAACGAGAGCTTTTCGTTATGGTAAAAACCTTAATTTGCATTGAAATCATGATCATTCTTTTCATGTAATTTTTCACATACTTGTAAACTTCTGCTAGAACTAACTAAATGATACTTTCAATTGTCAGACGAACATTCTGGAGTAATTCAAAAATATGTATTTGTAGACAAAAATAGCAGACCCAATAACAATCAATATGAATACTTGTAATACAATAATAATATATGCTATCCCTTTTTTTTTTTTTTTTTACATATGATCAAAGCTAAGCAGGGTATAATAGTGAAACAAAGTAGCATACATTTCCTAAAATTAAAACTTTAAAACACCATCCCATTAGGAGGGAAGCTTACCTTTTTCCCCTGTAGCTACGCCAATTAAGGCTTATATTAATTGTACCAATTACCCCAAAAAATAATCTATAAACAGCTGGAAATATAAACCTCAAAAACAATTACGTAACATCGCGCACACAGAGCCCAAGTCGGACTTGGGCTTATAACCTTAAAGTGTACCAATCAACCCAAAAAGTAATCTAAGAACAGCTGGAAATAAACCTCAAAAACATCGTGCACAGAGCCCAAGGCAATCACCCAAAAAAGTAATCTATGAACAGCTGGAAATAAACCTAAAAAATTAAGGCTTTTAATAACCTTGAAATGTGCCAATCACCGAAAACAGTAATCTAAGAACAGCTGGAAATAAACCTCAAAAAACAATTACGTAACATCGCGCACAGAGCCCAAGGCGGACTTGGGCTTATAACATTAAAGTGTACCAATCACCCAAAAAAGTATCTATGAACAGCTGGAAATAAACCTCAAAAAACAATTACGTAACATCGCGCGCATCGAGCCCAATTAAGTCGGACTTGGGCTTATAACCTTAAAGTGTACCAATCACCCCAAAAAGTATCTATGAACAGCTGGAAATAAACCTCAAAAAACAATTACGTAACATCGCGCGCATCGAGCCCAATTAAGTCGGACTTGGGCTTATAACCTTAAAGTGTACCAATCATCCAACAAATTAATCTATGAACAGCTGAAAATAAACCCAAAAAATTAAGGCTTATAATAACCTTGAAATGTACCAATCACCCAAAACAGTAATCTATGAACAGCTGGAAATAAACCTCAAAAAACAATTACGTAACATCGCGCTCCGAGCCCAAGTCGGACTTGGGCTTATAACCTTAAAGTGCAATCACCCAAAAAAGTAATCTATGAACAGCTGGAAATAAACCTAAAAAATTGAGGCTTATAACCTTAAAGTGTACCAATCACCCCAAAAAAGTAACAGCTGGAAATAAACCTAAAAAAACAATTACGTAACATCGCGCACAGAGCCCAAGTTGGACTTGGGCTTTTAACCTTAAAGTGGACCAATTACCCAAAAAAAGTAATCTATGAACAGCTGTAAATAAACCTCAAAAAACAATTACGTAACATCGCGCGCATAGAGCCCAAGACGGATTTGGGCTTTTAACCTTAAAGTGGACCAATCACCCAAAAAAGTAATCTATGAACAGCTGGAAATAAACCCCAAAAAACGATTACGTAACATCGCGCGCACAGAGCCGAAGTTGGACTTGGGTTACGTACGAGCCCTATTTTTTGCATTAATTGATTAGTCCCATCACAAGTTGCTTTTACCTCACTTGCTAAAAAGGCACTTTTAAAATTCATGAATGATATTCTACACGGGTGCAGTTGTGAGTCGGTCAAAGGAGGTGCACTGCAAACCATCTTATTCCTTAATTGTTTCTTTGGTCTTATGTTTGACCTTATGTTTGATCTCGTTTTTGTTTTTATTATCATATATGCATGATTTATTGAATAAAGAACAGATTTATAATTTGTGTGTTTATTATAAGTTTTAGTTGGTAATTTTTAATCAGACAATGGTGCGCTTAGAAACACCAGTATCAAGCGCCTAATAAATGTTGTGTATTATTATTATTATTATTGAGTTAGTTGAGAATATATTTGTATGTATAGGCCTACACATGTAGTATCATGAGATGGAACTACAAGATACAGAACAACATATCTTTCAGTGATTGGTGCACTTTAATATCCCATAAATTCCGTCGTGAGAGTATTCCCGCGAGTCCCGCCCACATAGCCACGGTAAAGATTGTCGTCATGCCAGAAGACATCCCCCGGGCGCCCTGGACCTTGACGTCGTGCCCTCTGGTCTCCCGCTCTTCTAGAGGATAGATGCACATTAGTCTGGGGGTCCCTTTTCCTCTGTGCCTACAAATTGTGAGAAATAATAATAATAACTCATTGTTATGGCCATGATGTTGATATTATTAATACTACTATACATCTACTTCTACAACTACTTGTACTACTGCTGCTACTAATATTACTACTACTACTACTACTACTACTATTATGACTACTACTACTGATCCTACTACTATACTACTACTTCTACTACCAACAGTAATAATATTAGGGACTTTTAGATTGAGTGGACGAGAATGGCGTGAACGGCCACTGATCATGCGTGTCTATGGCAAGCCATTTTAACATTTATTCCTATTTCTTGATATCAAGAAATGATTTTCTGTTGTAAAGCAATGGTATTTCTTGACATCAAGAATTGAATACTTGATATCAAGAAATGATTTTCTGTTGTAAAGCAATGATAATTCTTGGTATCAAGAAATAGTAATAAATGTTAAAACGGCTTGTCATAGACAAGCATGATCAGTGGACGTTCACGCCGTTCTCGTCCACTCAATCTAAAAGTCCCTAATTTGTGTAATCGAAGTAGCTGCAGCAGCAGTAGTAAATAGTAGTCGAAATAGTAATAACAAAAACAACAAAAAGAATAAGAATAGCAATGATATACTAAAACAAAAGTTATATTAATAATAACAATATAAATAACAACAATCATAATGATAAAAGCTACAAATCTCATTTTTTTAATGTGCATCGCAGGGGATGCCCCAGTCTCCAAGAAATATAGTGCTCCGTCCATGCAGGAATTAAAGTTCGGTTTTTAGTTACCGTAGTGTAGGAAATAGACATCAGTGTAATTGTTGCCCGGGCATTTTGGGGGGCACGAAGATGAAACATATAGGGGACAAGACTTTCTTCTTGTTGTATTCTCAGCATCGCTCTCAAACGTGCTTATATTTTTGTGCATGAACAACTTTTGACATTAACCCATTTACAATCATTCATATCCATTCATTATAAAAAGCCATAGGATATAACGATTATCATGAGAAGTAATTAAAGTGAGTCGATATCTCACGTAAATATAGAAAAAATGATCAGGGTGTGTTTCATCAGCTTAAATTGATTTCGATATTGAGACCAATTTTATGGCTTATTAAAACCCCCCTAAACATAAAAATATTGGTTACATTTTTTTTGTTTCTGAAGCAAACTGCGCAGAATTCATTAATTGTGATTACTTACGAAATTGTTGTGGGTCATTCTCCTCGCAGCAATTATACAGCACAAAAACAGTATAGCCACGAGAACAGACGCTCCTACAGCCACCCCAGTTATGCCACCAACACCCAAGAAACTGCCCAGTGAAGTCAGCTCTGTGAATAAAATTACCGGTATTGGGAAATATTATCTTTTGAATGTAATATAATAGGGGCACAAGTGCTTTGTGAGCAATAGACTAAAATCTATATTCATCAAAAGCTTATCAATAATCTATCAATACATCTACACGAAGTAAACAAGAAGTTAAAATGTTTGCAAACAGTACACTTTCAAGTAAGCTCATGAAGCACTGGTCACAATACACTCCTTCCAGATAATAGACGTACTCCTCTTTCATTACTGAGTACAATTTATGGCCTATTTTAGATAATAATTATTTGCTCAATGGCTATGGTTATCCCCACCCAATAGAGGGTTTACCCATTGTGAAAGAGGGTTCGTTTTGGACTCCCGTCAGAATACTTCGGACCATTATCAGAGAGAACATTTGAGACAGGAAGAAACTTCGATCCTTGAGAGAGTAAACTCTCAGACATCAGACTTTCTCTAGACTTCAACGCATCAGTACATTGTATTTGTATATCTTCACGTCAAGTTTTACATGTATTTCATCGTGATAAATGGTATGCTGTACATTCAATTATATTCAATCAGTTTAATCTTGGCCATCACAAGAAGTGGGTTATTGATGTAGACAAATGCTCATGTACTCTTTACAACTCTTTTCATGTATGTTATTTCCAAAGAAGAAAAAAAGCCAGTCAGTCACTCAATAGTGTCTGACAGTGAAATCTAGCAAGTAAACGGGTTTCCTTGCATAATTTGATTATGAGGACACTGCTAACGTTTAAATTTCACAGATAGGACATACATGACATATTCATAATTCCTTCAAAGTTCTACAGAATTTGAGGTTGGCTGCAAAAGGGACATCTTTAAGTTATGAAACTGTGAATAATAAACTCTTTATGTTGTACAGCTCCCTCTCAAGGTCAAGATATTAATTAAGCTATAAAACAATGTTTCTTGAATAAAATCGGCCGATTTTCACAGAAACCTCATTCGGATTACGGAATATGGCATCAAAATGTTCCCACATATCATAAGGTGATGCTCAGGCTACAAGCCGATCGCCTGTCTGATTATCAAGATATTTATGATTGGAATTAGAAATTTCAAAAACCGTTTTCCCAACGTTTTTTTTAACACTAAAGTCTATTGGGGAAAATGAGTCTGGTAAAAACCGGTCACTCAAAGATTTTTACCTTTTTTAGGCACTTCATGATCATTTTGAAGCGCATTTTTTTAGGGTTTCAATATTACACCATCACATGCAGACACTGATAACACGTAGGGCCATGCATCTCAGATTTGTAAAACTGGAAACATTGTTAAACAATGCCTTTCAATAGGCTTGGTTTAGCTCTTGTACTGTTAGATCCTGCATGTTAAAAGTGCTAATCTACTATTCTAAACATTCCACTATGATCCCGCCCCCTCCCCCCCCCTCCTACTCAGCAGGCATGCAGGAAGCAGTTTGGGATGGGGGGGGGGGGAGGGGCAAACATTCCAGGGGCTCTCCTTCGTAATGAGTAGTAATGTAGTGGCGTAATGAGCGTGATGGGGCCGGGGGGGGGGGGGAGAAAAAATCTGCATCACCATCACTCTTGCATGTTACATGCAGGCTCGGCGCAACATTTTTCAAAGTCGAGTATTAACGATTAGGCAGAGCGTAGTGTAAATTTGATTGGGGTCCATGGGCTTTGCCCCGGCGGGGGTCAAGGGATCGAGCCCCCAGAAGCTCAGGGGTTTTAGGCATTTAATTACGGTCAGATGAGCATCCAGGGGCCCTCCTTAGGGCCCTAGATGGGGTCCAGGGGGGCAAAGCCCTTGGAAGCTCGGAGGTTTTAGGTATTTAATTGCAGTCACTGAGACGAGCATCCGGGGGGCCCGCCCCGCCTTTGGACCCATGGTGTAGTCTAGAGGGCGGAGCCCCCGGAAGCTCAGGGGTTTTAAGCATTTAATTACGGTCATGAGCATATTTTGATACCTAATTTGTGATACTGGCAGGTCACTCATTCTTTCTTTCTCTTTTTCTTTCTTTTTCTCTGTAACATACTTTTTAAAAATAGTGAGGGGGGGGGGGGGCTCAAGCCCCAGAGCCTCGCCGTTCTGGAGGCCCTGACATGAAGGCTTCTAAATAAGCATTTATTTTGCTTGACTGGGAATTTTTAATTTTCCAACAAAACGCATAAAAAGGAGTATATTTAAAGTTTTTTAAGGAAAAAAACCCGGAAAATCATGTCATTTCAGCAATATCTGTAAATCACTGGTATAGAAATAAACATTTGAATTTTATTTTGGAGGCAACTGCCCCCCCCCCCCCGGTAAGTATAAGTCAATATGGGCCAGATTTCGTTGCATGAAAATCACCCCTTTACCGGAAATTTGGGAACACAAATGCGGTCCCAGATCCCAGAGTGGAGGAAGGGGGGGGGGGGGGAGGGAGGGGCCGGCACTTTGAAATGTTGAAGTAATTAACTTTTGAGTTTTTAGAGCGTAGGTAATCTTACCGCATACTCTCGCGGGGCCAACCCCTGCAGGTGATCTATCCGTGTAGCCAAAATGACAGGTGCAGGTGTAGGACCCAACCATGTTGGTACAATTGGCATTCTCCGAGCAGTCATTGGTAGTCGTACTTGCACATTCATTGATGTCTAAAGAAGAACAGGAATAAATTATTGACGTTCAAGTTGAAATTCATTTATTTTCCAACAACAATAACGAATACGTATAAAGAAAAAGCTTTTTACGCCACATTGGTGTAAAATAGCATGAAACATGAGGACAAAAAGATAACAGTGGTGTCGACTTATTAAGCGTTTGGTTTCTATAACTGCTTTTTAGAGGAATCCATACCCAAGCCATCGGATGCCCACATATATACGTTCTCCACTCCCTGGGGAATTTTCAATGAATATTCAGGCCCCTTATTAGAGATAACTAGTCAACTGCAAAGACTTTAGCATCCTATCGCTTACCGGCTACAAATGTGTTTTTTTTTTAAATGGATGGAGTTAAGAAAATGCCTTGCCTACTTAAAGACTAGAGTGCCGTGCCGGGGATCGAACGCACAACCTTCGCATCTCCAGTCAAACGTTTCTACCACTCGGCCACGGCACCTCTATTTGCAGGTCATCCGACACTTTGTCCGGCGACAATTGCTACAGGCTTAATTTCTTTCATCAAAAGTATAGGTTTGGGTTTCAATTGGGTTTTAGGTTAGGTATAGGGCTATGCTTAGGTTTAGTTAATGTCGGGTCAAAGGTTGAATTTAGGGAGTCCGTTAGTGCAGCTACACGGTGGGCCAACTGTCGCAATTAAGCAGCATT